ACACAGTGGCTCATACTTTCATTAATAGAGCCGATTCATCGCAGCTCGCAGAGAGGGTTTAATACACACCCCCATAACAATCTATATATACTGTCCACGCATGTCACAACCCTAATCTCTCTATAACTCAACCCTTCTCTCTGTCTTTGTATCACTCTTTCTTGTGAGACTATCTTCTTCTTCTCTTCGTCCCTCGCACTCTTCTTCCCGCCCTTCATTTGTTTGTTTCTTTCCACACCGTCTTTATTTTTTCATTTATTTTTCACCATGAATCTCATCTGATTCTTTCAAATGAACCCGTCAAACAAGTAGTATGCCAAGCCACACACACACACACACACACACACACACACACACACACACACACACACACACACACACACACACACACACACATTGACATGTTTATCTGCACACCCTTGGCAGACCTGCTGACTCTTTAACAGTTTCCACAGCAACATAAAGTGGCTAAGAATAATGTATTCTGTTATGGCTGTGGATGATTAGCATCATTCTGTTTCAACATCAGCACTAGACTCCTTGTCTCACACCACTGTTTTAAAGGCGCATCTGAAGTAACGGCAAAAATGATTCAATTGAGAACAGTTTTGCTTGAATAATGATTACCGGGAGAGTGGAGGCAAAACTACAGACTGGCGGAATAGTCATAATAATCTGTGTCCACTGGCAGCATTTGATGAATGGACTAGTCTGTGGCTATTACTATGGAAACAAAATCCAATCAAATTCAGAAATGTAGGCCAAGATGAAATCTTTCAAAAATGACTATTTTGCTGTAACATCTGACCATACTAATAGTAAATCAAAAGCAGGCTGAATCATTGATGTGCAGAATAATAAATAGTTGTTCAGTCACTGGTAGACTAGTCGCCTTAAATCACTGAATGTCTGCATGTCATCTTGGTTCTAATTATGTATTACAATTGAACTGAAACTTGATGAAACTGATTTGCATTTTTCGAACTGTAAAACAAATCCAATTAACTTTCATACCTTTTACAGTATTTGATATAATACATTTGGACCGCTCTCTTCATTGAATTACTAACTTGTTTCATATAAAGGGCTCAAACAAAAAACGATTATAAGGCAAAGAGGGCAGAAGGTGAATGCAAAAACAAACACCCTGCTTAACTCAAGTCACACAAAACTAAAGAGACAAATTGCAGAGGAAAAATAGGATGACCTTCTAAAAATCTATGTCAAATAACTAAGGAATTTAGGAGGATAGGTAAAGCTGCCTGTTGAATTTTAAAAAAGGCGGTGACTTTTGCTGAAACTCTCACATGTTGAAAATCCATCTTTTCTTCATGGTAGTGCAGACACAAGACAAATAAAGAATAAATACACAATTAGCTCTCATAACTGAACTGAATATAATGACTGTATGGCTTTCGGAGGTGAGATACTCATCAGCAGCTTAATCAGCACTGCCCACCTTACTGCTTGCTTGACAAAGATTTTTCTATTACAGGCTTTTTTGTATGACAGAGGTGAAATCGTGTTTCCCTACCAAATGGTGGGTGGGATGGATCGCTTATATTCAGTCATCCTTGCTCATACTGCTATTTAAAGGGCTAACGTGTTGTTGTAATAAATGACAGCTAATGGAAACGAGCTGAAGCCGATCTATTCTTCTTTACATTAATAAATGATGGATAAAATCATTTAATATGATAATACCAGGATAACTTTACCTTTCTTTAATTTGACATTTATGCACATTAAGTGCCTACATTTACCAATGAAAGCATAAGTTATCAGCCCTCAAACACCCACATTATCGTTTTGTAATCCTGATTTAGTATAAAAGATGGAATTAAGCTACAGTAAAGTATATTTAAAAGGCTGAAGAGGAAACAGCTCCATTGAAACAGACATATCAATTTAAAATATATTGGATTTAAAGTCACTGTAAATGATAAAGCCTTTTATAGTTTCTGCAAGATGGAGCCTAATTGTACGGTTGCTCAAGTAATTAAAAAAGATTTAGATTTATAGTTATAAATATTTCGAGTTAAATTCCTATTGAAGTCAATATGAACCTTTGTCATTAAAAAGTAAAATGTTGTTATCAAACCACTTGCTGTACACTTTCTGTCTGGTCGCAATTACTATTTATACCATGCCAGGAAATGTCCAATTGAACAACCAAACTGGTCGTCTCATTGAAATGTAATTTATACAAACTTTTAACAGTCAGCTGATCATTCAAATGACGATCAGTTCCTGATTAAAGCCTGCTGAGAGCTGAATATAGGAAGCAGGAAGGAACGGACACCAAACGTCTGCCCAATATCTTTCTCTCGCAACTCCTCCTCACAACTTCACAAGCTGCGCCTAAAAAAACACTTGTGTGGACAAACTGGCAAGTGAGGATGAGGAAAATAAATGAGAGGGAAAGGCTGGTTAATGAGAAATGCTATTTTTACTGCTTTGATGTCCCCCCATCCACATAAGCACACAGCTTAGACAAAAACAAATTAGAGATGTCGACTGCATCCCAAAGACATTAAAAACATATTAGCACACCAACCATTTGAGACTGTGTCCACACATTTTCACATGTGTATGCGTCTGCATTTCAAATTCAGAAAAAGTATTCACAGTGTATTTCTTAGCGCTTGTCCACACTGGCTGGCATTATGCATATCACTGTGAGCGGTTGTTCCTTAGAGCTAATAGTAGACAAAATATCAACATAATGACACCATAGTTTCTGCACGGCTAGATGACTCAGAGGCATAGTACCATGATTCATTTCCCTTCTAAGGAATGTATAGAATACAGATCAGCATCATCAACATAATGATGAACACATCCAGAAGGATCTAAAGCCACTTTGTCTAACTTTTCAAACTCATAATCATCATTTGTCTTTATGCTCCTCAGGTAGTGTCCATCTTCACAGCAAAGTGAACAGCAACAAGAAACTCTTTTGGGGCCAAAAGAGGAAAATGGAATGGATTTCAAGAGTTTTGCGATTACAAATTGCTTACATGTTTTGCATTAATGTGGACACCCATCACCTCTGCTTTCTCTTGCTTCTTGCTGTGGGCGTGTCAACACTCATAAAGTTGAGCAAACTTTGCTTGTTAGCACCCATTGAGTAAATAAACAACCCACCACTATCTCCAGGAATTTGCATGACTTTGTGCCGAGCATCACTTCACTTTCGTTTTTCGTAGCTAAGGTCAGAAACAAGGAATACCAGAAACGTAATGATCTCATCTTGCGCAGATACGCTTTCATATCCGGGTAATTTAAAACTTGCATCTCCGACTATTATTTGGCACATTAAAAAAAAAAACTCTAAACATGATGTTTTCTACACTTCTAAACATTTGAGCTAACATTGAGGACCAATTCTGATTCACAGTGCCTTTAAGGACAATTCATTCCTTTACAAAAAGATAGCAGCACACATCTTTTTTTTTTTGTTATATATATATGATTTATTTTTGCGATTTTCAATACACAAAGACATCAGCAATACAATGCATTACCCCTGCGATTTCTAACAAAACAACCCCAAGACACAATACATCAGTTACAATTAGACAATAATGTAATAATGAAATAAAAAATAATAATATTTTTTTTTTTTTTTTTTTTTAAAAGAAAGGAAAAGAAAAAAAGAAAAA